TCTATCTCTGAATGACTTACTTCGCTTAGCATAATGCTCTTCAGTTCCATCTGCTGTTGCAAATGGTAGAAGTTCCTTCTTTTTATAGAGGCTTAATATTCCACTGTGTAGATGTACCACAGTTTTCTAATTCACTCATTCGCTGATGGGCACTTAGGCTGTTTCCAAATCTTAGCTATGGTAAATTGTGCTGCTATGAACACAGGGGTGCATATATCCTTTCTGATTGGTGTTTCTGGTTTCTTGGGATATATTCCTAGGAGTGGGATTACTGGGTCAAATGAGAGTTCCAGTTTTAACTTTTTGAGGAAACTCTATACTGTTTTCTAGTGACTGCCCAGTCTGCATTCCCACCAGCAATGCACTAGGGTTCCTTTTTCTCCACATCCTCACCAGCACTTGTCATTTGTTGATTTGTTTATGTGAGCCAATCTGACAGGTGTGAGATGGCACCTCATTGTTGTTTTTATTTACATCTCTCAGATGATTAGTGACTTTGAGCATATCTTCATATATCCATTGACCTTCTGTATGTCTTCTTTCAAAAAGTATCTGTTTTAAGTCCTTTGCCCATTTTTTGATTGGGTTGTTTATCTTCTTTTGTTAATCTGTATAAGTTCCCTGTAAATGTTGGAGATTAAACCCTTATTGGAGATAGCATTGGCAAATATGTTCTCCCATGCAGTGGCCTTTCTTATTGTTTTGTTGATGGTTTCTTTTGCTGTGTGGAAGCTTTTTATTTTGATGTAGTCCCATTTGTTTATTTTCTCCTTAGTTTTCATTGTCCTAGGAGCTGTATTGATAAATATATTGCTGTGACATATGTCCGATGTTTTGCTGCCTATGAAGTCTAAGATTTTTATTATTTCCCATCATTTAAGTCCTTTAACCATTTTTGAGTTTGTTTTTGTGTATAGTGTTAGTTGGTAATCTAGTTTCATTTTTTTTTTGCCTGTATCTGACCAATTTTCCCAGCACCATTTATTGAAGATACTGTCTTGACTCCATTCTATTTTCTTGCCTCCTTCGTCAAATAATTGGGCATAATAGCTTGGATGGATTTCTGGGTTTTCTGTTCTGTTCCATTGGTCTACTAGTATATGTCTGTTCTTTGCCAGTACCAGGAAGTTTTGAGAACAGTGGATTGGTAATATAGTTTGATATCTGGTATTGTGATCCTTCCAACTTTGTTCTTTTTTCTCATGATTGTGGCTATTCAGGATCCTTTTTTATTCCAGTTGAATTTTTGGAGACTTTGTTCTAGGTCTGTGAAATATGCCATTCATATTTTAATGGGGATTGCATTGAATCCATAAATTGCTTTGTGTAGTATGGACATTTTAATGATGTTGATGTTATCAACCTATGAACATGGTATGTTCTTCCATTTGTTTATGTGTTCCTCTATCTCTTCTTTTCAATGCCCTGTAGTTTTCTGAGTACAGGTCTTTTATGTACTTCATTAAGTTTATTCCTAGGTATCTTTTTTTTTTTTTTTTTTTTTTTTTTGTGCAATGGTAAATGGGATTTTTTTTTTTTTTTTGAGTTCTCTTTCTGTAAGTTCATTATTGGTGTACAAAAAAGCCATAAATTTCAGAGTGTTAATTTTGTATCCTGCTACATTGCCACATTCATTTATTAAGTCTAGTAGTGTTTTTTTGTTTGTTTGTTTGTTTGTTTTTATGAAGTCTTTGTTAGTTTTTATGAAGTCTTTGGGGTTTTCTATGTACAATATCATGTCATCTGTGAATAATGACAGTTTTACTTCTTCTTTTCCATTTGGATGCCTAGGGGGGAGGCTTATTTTCGGGGGGATGCCTTATATTTCACTCAGAAGGAAACCTGTAAGTAGGTCTTATTTTTGGAGGATGTCTTATTTTCGAGGAAACACCTTAAGGCTCGTGCAGCCTGGGTTAGCTACCATCCAAGGCTTGCCTACACTTGAGTCGGCCTTGGGTGTTTGGGGGACTGAGGGGACTGGGATACTCCTGAGGCAGGCGTGCAGAGTGACCAGGCCAGCCTAGGGACGGGCCTAACCTTGCTATGTGCCTGCCACCTTGGCAGGACTGAGGGGACTGGGCACCACCATGTGGGTGTGGCAGTCAATTAGCATAGCCCCTTCTTATTGGCTGTGGGTACTGCCATCTTTATGATGGCATGAGGGTCAATTAGCATATTCCCTCTTTTTTAGGTAGGTATGCATTATCCATGTACACATAATAGTTCAATGAAGGTCTGGAGGCAGAGTAGAGGTCAATGGGGAAAAGGGGAACGTTTGTAATCCTTTCAACAATAAAGTTAATTTTTAAAGAAAGACGGAGAATTATTGGTACATTATATATAATCTTGGAAAATTTAAGTTTTGAATCATTTGTTCTTATTGAGACATCTCATAGAATAAGTATATATCTGTAACCCTAATAAAATTAGCTCATTTGACTAAAATCCCAAACTCATATGACAGAAAGTGAATTGTAGAATTAAGGCTTCTTTGGTTTGTAAAAAAAAAAATTACTCATGATTTTATCTAACATGCTGCTTCTCCTTTCTTTTCTGGGAAGTCCAGGTAATTTAACTTGAAAGAAAAAAAAAATCATAGACTTTATTTTTGAAAGAGATTGTGTTCACAGAAAAATTGAGCTGAAGTTACCGAGATTATTCCATTTCCCCTTACCCTCACACAAGGGAAGACCTCCTCCCCCATTGTGGACATCCCACACTAGAGTTATATATTTGTTATGATTGATGACTGCATCGACACATCATTATCTGCCAAGGTCGATACCTTACGTTACGGTTCACTCTTGCTGTTGTATTTTCTGTAGGTTTGGACAAATATATCACGACATGTATTACTATTATAATCACTAATATTGTTAGTGTCTTCATACTTTGCCCTTTTAGAAAGTTATATAACCCTTATAAGTTGGTTTCTTTCATTTAATAATGTTTATTTAAGCTCCCCCCATGTCTTTCCCTGGTTGATAACTCATTTATTTTTATTAATGCAGAGCAGTGCATTGTCTAGATCTACCATAATTGATAACATTCACCTATTGAAGGAAATATTGTTTGCTTCCACATTTTGACAATCATGAACAAAGCCTATCTAATACCCATCTGCAGGTTTTTGTGTTATCATAAGTTTTTGACTCATTTGGGTAAAGAGTGAGTTCACTTGATGGCTTATACACCTACTTTTGTAACAAATTACCCAATTGTCTTCCAAAGTATTTGTACTATTTTTTATTACCAATAGCAATAGATGAGAGTTAGTAATTTTATTTTTATCTGCTGGTAAAAAGTCCTTTTTAAGTTGCTTTTGCAAGATTTTTCCTTCCTTTCTCTGCTCGTCTAGCACTCTGTATCCTTATGCTGACATGAATCATGTTCTTTCATGCTTTTGCCAGTTGAAACCCAAAGAGCAAAGCATAGATACATCTCCTTCACCTTGCAATTCTTCACTCAATAGCTTGAAAATTAACTGTTCCAGTATTTATTCAATGAATAAAGAAAGTTCAAATTTTGGTGTGTCAGACTGTCAAAGGGAGCATTATGTTTTGCAAATCTATATATAATCACAAGGTCTTTTACTAGGCTTGGAATCAAACAATTCACACTATTACCACTGGTAATATTTCTTTATTTGCTTCTTGGCGATATTTTTTTTTTTTGGATGGTTAAATACATGGTTGATTCATGTTAAAGGAAACTGCATTTGAAGTTATTGATTCTTTGGCCCAGCTTTTCAGCTGGAAGAAACAAAGAGCTTGCTGTAATAAGTTCTGAACCTTCTAAAAACAATAACTAATGAGGTTTGTATGTACCTTTGACATTTCATTTTCAACCAGAGTGAAGGTCAGAAATGAAAGGGCACAAATATGCTTTCATACAGTAAATAAACAATGCTATTATTTGTCAAAGAAAATGGAATACTGCTAACTTGTTCATAGCTTCTTACTATCTAAAAGTGAGTTTGCTATGCCTAATTTTGGTAATTGAATTATATTGTCCTTGCATGTACTAGAATTCGGAATTTAAAAAGGGGATACACCTAGTTTATATGTCAAGGACTAATGTAAATTGTGCTTTTTGTTAATACTCTGGCATTGCATTATTTGAATGTTTATATTTAACTCTTAGATTGACTTATTATTTGTTGGCTGGTATTTATTTGATGGAACTTGTTATTATTCCATTAATTTGATTAACTTTCTTCTTAGATTGGACGTTTTCTTAATATATATTCAATGTCCTCAACTCTCTCATATTTGGTATTTATAATAATATAAATTTATTATTAAAGAGAATATGTTAAAGAGTGATTTTGGAAAGTAACTGGCAGGATTATGAACAGTAAAAAATATACCCTTAAAAGCACAATACACAATGGGAATTTTAAGTGCTTTCTTTTCATAGTATATATCAATACATAACAAGGGGTTGTTCTATTAAATTTGTACTAGATCAAGGCAATTTTAATGTTAAAAATAATTTAATATGTTGAAAAATATTATGAAATACACAAGCTTCAAATATCAAAACCCATGTATAAATGATTACTTTATATTGTCATCTATTTAACACTAGAGGCCCAGTGCATGAAATTCATGCACTTGGGGGAAAGTCCCTGGCCTGCATCCTTTCACAGTGCGGGACTCCTGGAGGATGTCTGACTGATGGCTTAGGACCACTAACCTATCAATCGGACATCCTTAGCACTGCACTGTGTTTGCCAGCCTTGAGCCCGGATTCTGGCTGAGCTGTGCTCCCTCAGTGGGAGTTCACTGAGCACCAGGGGGCAGATCCTGCATTGAGTGTCTGCCCCCTGGTGGTCAGTGCACATCATAGTGACTGGTCATTCCACCATTCGGTCATTTGCATATTAGCCTTTTTTCATATAGGATATTTTTGAAGCAAAGTATTTCAACTTTTATGATTCATTCATTTAAAAAATTAACATGTAGTAAGTTCCTAATCTGAGATTTACTTCATTTCAGATGAACTTACAAATTCATCAGAAACCAGGTTGTCCTTGGAAGATCTCTTCAAAGATGACTTCGTGCTGCATGATCCAGAAGCCCGATGGATCAACGGTATGTGTGTGCCTTTTGTGTGTGATGTTTATTGAGCTCTATATAATTATAGTCTAAGCAAATAATGCTATTTGAAGTTAGTATTCAAATCAACATCATTCTTCCAAAGATTGCATATACTATTTAATCAGTATCTTGGCTCATGTGAGAAAACCAATTCCTAAGATAGGTCATCAATAGAAATATCCTCCACACATTAGATCAATTGTTTGGTATTTATGGTTCCCTCATGGTCATTATTAGCCATTTCACATTAAATGTGTTACATCTTTAGCATTTTTCTAGATTATTCTTCTTGGTGTGAAGTATGGATTTTGAGAGACTTCATATATATATATATATATATATATATATATATATATATATATATGCTTCAAATGTGGCAAATAAATTAGTTTCTTTTCCTTCTTGGTGGCTTTTCTTTTTAATCCTAAGTGCTGCAAACTAGAGAGACTTTTCCAAACTTGAAATGACTGAGAAATCATGTGGAAATGTATTGTACTTTGTCGTTTTCTTCCCTGGCAAAGAAACCACCTCAGTTTTCCTTAGTAATTTCAGATTTTATTTTCAAAGACTTTTAAAAAGCATTTAGATTTTTAAAGAAACAACCAAAAGTAAAATCACTGGTTCCATGGTTTCTCTTTTTGGAAGGTGATGGGGAAAGTGAATGGGTTATCCAGTCAGAAGAAATGTGTTGGCGAATAGAAAGTAAAGTTTTCATTCCTTGAATATTCCAATTTGCCTGACCATGCTAATCTCTGTAGTCAGATCGCAGTTCATCTTTGCCCTTCAATTTATTTAGACATATCTTTGCTTGCTTTCAAGGCATAGAGAAGATTATTTATGGTAAATAAAATAAGCTTTGACCTTTAGCTAATAATGATTATCTCACTCAGTGTCCTTTCTTTTCTAATATCCTAATTAAGTGCTTGTATACCTGAAAATTAAATGGTAATTTATGGGAACAATAAAATGAAAGGAAGTTAATTCATTAAGGCAGAGACCAAATCATACTGTTTAGTTCACATTGATAAGTTTCTGGAGATCACCTGGCACTCAAGATGTCTCTTTGAATAAATTAATGAATTTCACTGAAGTTCTGTGTTATTTTTCAAGAACTTAAGTTTCAATTGAAATCAGTTGGGAGATGAGTGTGTATCATGGTGATAGTATTATGCAGTGATTTTCAACCAGTGTGCTGCAAGAATTTTTAAAATATGCAGTACCTGACTATTCAGTCAGGGGCACTGAGCTTTTTCCCCTTAGATTATCAAATTTAAAAAATGGCAACAGCTAATACAACAATAGCCATCCTAGGTAAATAAATCAAAATATACCTATATATATTCTTTGTGATATCAGCAAAATATATATATATATATATACATATATATATATATATATATTGGTGTGCTGCAGAATTGTTTTAATTAGTTTATGATGAAAAAGCTTGATTTTTTTTGCTATTATAAATTAAGACAATTTAATTAATTTATTTGTATATTTTTATTTGAATCATTTACAAATTAAGGACTTGCCATATTCTTGTCTTTGCACCATGATTATTTCAGATGAGTACTATAACTAAAGGAAGCTAATAAAAATGAGGTATTATTACCATTACCAAACATTCTTCTAATACACAGATCTCTCACAAATCATTCTCCTAATATGCTGTGATAATTCTGCAAGTCATCTTTTTATTTGTTAACACTTATTTTCTATTAGGGAAGAGGACAACAACATTGTGAAAAAATATGTTATTAGATTGGAATTGCTAAATGACATTTTGTTTTAGTCACCAAGATTTTGGACAAGCATTAGAAATTTGTGGTCTTTGACTTTGGAAAGCAAGCGAAAATCATGGCCCTTATCTCCCTTCTCAGGTTAACTTGGATTATTTAAAGAATCATTCACTCCTGTGTATAACTGACACTTTGATATTGAAATGCCAAAGGACTAGATGGATATTTAAGTAGTGAACTGCATGCTAAATTAAACCATTTTATTATTTAGGGCACACATTCTTACATTCCACTTTAACTCTTCACAAGATACCAAAATCATATATTTGGAGTTAATCATTTTAAACTTTAATAAAAAAAATAATTTTATTATTCACTATTGGTAAACTTAATCTTGAGAAACATCCTAGGACAAAGCTGCAGTGTTACTATTATATTCTAGCTAAAACATAAGCTATAATATTTATTTTAAAATTTGCGATAGAAACAACCCTTTAGCCCAGCTGATGTGGCTCAGGGGTTTAGTGTCAGCCTATGAATAGGTCACTGGTTCAATTCTTGGTCAGGGCACTTGCCTGAGTTGTGGGTTCAAGCCCCAGTAGTGGGTGTGCGGGAGGCAGCAGATCAGTGATTCTCGCCCTCTTCCTTTCTCTCTGGAAGCAGTAAAAATATTTTAGAAACAAACCTTTAAATGGGCTTAAATAGAACCTGAGCTCTCAGAGGCTATGTGAATACCCCTAAAGAAATCCACTCGCTGCCAGAAGACTGTGTGCACTGCGCTGCTTTTCCAGTAAGAGAATAGATTGTGCTTCTTCATTCCTCTTACTCCACCCAGATCACTCTCCTAGCAACCACTAGATACTTGGCCTATTTACTGGTTCCTCATGTGGCCAGGAAACACAATGGAAACTATATGAAAAGAATGTGTAACCTTGGCCTCATTATCAGATTGTATCTAAATATAAAATTTGATTTTTTTCTGTACTCTCATGAGGTATCTTGCCAGGCTCTCTTGATAAGTACGTCTCCTGAAGAAGTCTAAGTTAAGCTCATTTGGAATCTTCATTTAGTCTTGGAGGTCACCACAGGTAGATTGGAGTGCAGCAATGTCGTTTCTTATGCTGGTTCTCAAATAAAATAACTGCGTGTCATTGCAGCCTTTGACGGCTACTCATGTTCATGGTTAGCTTAACATCTGCCTTCCCCCATGTCTGCTCATAAGCTTGAATCTACATTTTTATAGCATCTTTTTTTCTAGTGGTGTCACCTTGAAACCTAGAAATCCATCTTCCTTAAAATTATTCATCTCCCCACATACATTTTTATTGAATTTATTGGGGTGACATTGGTTCACAAAACCATATAGGTTTCAAGTTTACAACTTAACAAAACTCCATCTGCACACGGCATCATGTGCCTAACACCCAAAGCAAAGTCATTGTCTGTCCCCATTTATCTTCCCTTTGCCCACTTCCACCTGCCCCCATTGACTGCATGTGTGCGCATGTGTTTGCTGCATCATTTTACCTCCTTTCATCCAGCCCCCAGCCCCTTACTCTGACAGCTGTCAGTCTGTTCCGTGTATCTATGCCTGTTTCTATTTTGTCAGTTTATTTTGTTTATTAGATTCCACATATAAGTGAGATCATATGGTATTTGTCTTTCTCTTTCTGACTTATTTCACTTAGCATATATTCAAATTATTGTTTTATTTGTAAATTTAAATCATTTATAAGGAAATGTTTTTAAGATTCTAGTTTGTCTTAAAATGATAATATTTATAATAAACATAATGTACAGTATGGGAAAGTATTTACCCATAAAATTGAATGTTAGCATTTGAGAGAGAAAAGTTTTCAGAAAAAGAATATTTTTTTAGACATATAGTGATTACTTTAAAGTATTTAAAGGGAGTTGGAAATAGAAAACAAACTTTAGGATAGGTAAACTTTCATATGGCAACCTACTTTGTGAAAAGAAGACTATATTTTGATTTTTAAAATTAGGAATTAAGCAAGAAAAGTATATATATGCACACACATATACTTTTAGACACAGACTAAAGTGTGGTGATAGGCACAGGGCCAGAGGGTTGGGTAGGTGGAGGTGGGTGGGCAAAGGAAGGGACAATGGGGATGTAAAGAGACTTTAGTTGGGGCAATGGGCAAGGGATGCCATGTGCAGATAATGTTTGTTGAGTTGTAACACTTGAAACTTATATGATTTTGTGAACCAATGCCACCCAATGAATTCAATTAAAAAATCAACTGAGAAAAATAAAATAAAATAAAAAATTCATTTTTAACTTATACTAAAGAGAGGGGGAAAAAGAATCTGAGTAAGAGAGATGAAAGAGCTATGCTTAGAGTTAATTAACAAGAATTACTGAGTTGCAGCTACAATACAGGGTTCTGTATATTTTAAGTGGAAATCTGTCACCATTTGAAAGGTTTGCAGTAAAATAAATGGTGTTCTCATAGCTGTAATAAATTGTTCAAAATTATGGTTGGTTTGCTTTTGTTGGCCCAGGACCTGGGTTTGTCAGAACAAATGTTGATTTAGTAGACACTTGACATTGACATCTATTTTTCCATTTATGTGTCCCACCTATCTTTTATTCAACATGTGTTTATTGAACATAGCGAAAAGATTCTAGATATGAGGATATAAAGATGAATAGATGCAGTCCTTTCATTAAAGAGAATGATGAATATAGAGGTTCTTCCCCCCATCATGCACAGTATTTTTATGCTTATCTATGGGTTAAAGGAGTGAATTAGTAATCAAAGGCTGTGATGGCACAGGAAATAGACTTAATTTAAGTAGAGAGTTGCAAAAAAATATTGAATCAAGACTACAATGAGATTTGATTAACTTTCTTTTCTCCAGAATCAAAAACATGTCTCCATCTCCTTTATCTTTCTCTTCACTATGATGGAGGACACACATGTCCACATTTTGTTTATTGAACTTCTTTTTATTATATTTGCTTTTTCTTTATTTGATATAGATTTTACTTGTATACATTCATAGTCATGACTAATATAGGCATGGTCCACTGAAATGGTAAAAGGAAATATAATTATGGTACCTATAGAATTTAGAAACTTATTAGAAATAATAGACCTGAAATAGTTAGACAACAATTGGGTGACACAGTTTTCAATTATCATTTTATTTTTAATACATTGAAACTGTAAGCAATCAGTTTGAGTTAAGAATAATTGAGTAGTCTTTATGAAAGAAATGAAATTC